TTTGCGCCTTTCCTGGAACTCACTTGGTAGACCAGGCTGGCCTCGAACTCACAGAGATCCGCCTGCCTCTGCCTCCTGAGTGCTGGGATTAAAGGCGTGCACCACCACCGCCACCACCACCCGGCGGGCTATTTGTTTTTAATATGAACTACCTGGAAGAACTGAGCCAGATATTTATTTAGTCGGCAAGTTAAACATCAGAACTTAGTTTTCAAGGAAGCCTGCTTTGATGAGCACCTCCACCTTAGACATCGGATAGCTCCTTACTCACTGACACCCTCAACAGCTTACAAACAAACACACGTGCAGTCACCTTGCTTAGTGAATTTATGCCCCTTGTAGCTTGTGACTGTTTTACGCTGCACCTACATCACCTGGATCTGTGGCCACATCTTGTATCATATAAATCTCGTATTTCAAGCATGGTAGCTGTATGAATACTTGTAATGTGACTGTCGAATGAATATGGAAACCACCCATTGGCTTGTGGCATTAAATACCAGCTGTGAAGCCCAAAGCTGATTTTTAGTTATGAATCTGGTTCTTATTCAGAAATACAAAGTTTTACCTGGTCTGCCAAAACATCGGCTGGTTTAAATGTTACCAAAATAAAATCCTTTGACAGACACAACCTACCTAGGTATGCCATCGGAATTATGTCCTGAACAGAATAAGGTCCTGCAGCCAGAACCCTGGGTGGATAGAAGCGCTTCAGAGGTGGTAAATCTGGACTGAGTCACATTTTGAATTACCATTAGCATTTCTTTTCTGAAGCCTTTAGAAGACAGAGTGGAAGTGAGAGGCGAGTGTGCAAGGCGAGTGTGCAAGCTAGCAACATCATTTTATAGACGAGTCTGGAGGAGTAAAATTGAGAAGACCTTTGGAATACAAACTTATTTTTGCCATCAAAGTGTCTTACCATCTTGCAAGGACTTAGGAGTACCTTGGTTGAAGATTTGCTAAAACGGACCTTTTTGGTGCCTCTCTATCTACCACGTGAAAGTTTTATGCTCTGCTTTATAATCTTCTATCTTTCATAGGTCTTTCACTCGCTACATAGGCCAGGCTGGCCTGGGACTCAGAGATCTGCCTGCCTCTGACTCCTGAGTACTGGGATTAAAAGTGCGCATTCCCACACCTGGTACCTTTCATAGGTCTTAATCGCTGTCTTTGAAATTATTTTTACTGGATAGTTAGGGATGGCAAGCGGTCGTAATGAGATCCGTGCCTCCTGCCGCACAGTGGAGAGCAATTGCATTTGTTATAATGTACTATGGACAATAGAGGTCTTGTCTTATGTCTCAAAGATTTTATAATAGGCATTCTGTAGAATGATATCTATTTCTTGTGGTCATGGAATCCAGGCGCACGTCAGGGCAGGCTCTGGCTGATGGCTCCAGAAGTTGCCTCTCTGACTCCTGGATTAAACAGGGTTTTCTGTGCAGATCAATTGGTAAAGTTGACTTAGTTTTTTAACTTCTTCAAGTCTGTCTTGAACATCAAAATGGGACCATGGACAATCTTTGCTTCTGTGTGTTGCTGCTACTGGCAAATCCTAGGGGTGTTTGGAGCATCTTAGCTGCTGAATTGATGGAAATGAAAGAGACTGTGTGATTTTGTTATTGAGGTTCTGTGGATTTCGCAGGCGTGAGATAGTCCCTTTTTCGCTCTTCTATGGTAGTTGAAGTCATCCATGTGGTCCTGTTGAACTCTTCAGAGGTGCTCAGGGAGTGAATACCAAGGCATCAGACCCATGGGCAAGAGCATTTCAGACACTGGCCGTGAACGCCTTCGCTACCCTTTGCCTCCCGTGTCCTTTGCCTCTGATGGTTACTTCTCTCCTTCCTTCCCCCCACAGACATGCCTGGAGTTGGAACGCTACCTCCAGACGGAACCCCGACGGATCTCTGAGACCTTCGGCGAGGACTTGGACTGCTTCCTCCACGCCTCTCCTCCCCCGTGCATCGAGGAAAGCTTCCGGCGCCTGGACCCCCTGCTGCTCCCAGTGGAAGCCACCCTCTGCGAGAAGAGCTCCGCAGTGGACATTCTGCTCTCTCGGGACAAGTTGCTCTCCGAGACCTGCCTCAGCCTCCAGCCCACCAGCTCTTCTCTGGACAGCTACACAGCGGTCAACCAGGCCCAGCTCAACGCAGTGACCTCATTAACGCCCCCCTCCTCCCCCGAGCTCAGCCGCCATCTGGTCAAAACCTCGCAGACTCTCTCCGCCGTGGATGGCACGGTGACGTTGAAACTGGTGGCCAAGAAGGCTTCCCTCAGCTCGGTGAAGGTGGCAGCGGCGGCGGCGGCGGCGGCGGCCGTGACACCAGCCGGAGCGGTTAAGAGTGGACAGAGCGACAGCGAGCGCGAACCAGGAGGGGTAGGGGCGGACACATGCCCCGAAAACAAGAAGAGGGTCCACCGCTGTCAGTTTAACGGGTGCCGGAAAGTTTATACAAAAAGCTCCCACTTAAAGGCCCACCAGAGGACTCACACAGGTAGTCGTACAGGTTGGCCGCGGGTCACTTCTTCCTCTTCTGTGCGTTCCCCTTGTGGCGGGATGGGCTGCTCTTAGAAGGGCTTTGCTTAGGGGTGTAGAATGACTCCCACTTCCAACTCTAGGGTCTTGGGTTCTCCCAGCGCAGGACATGGATTTGATTTTTTTTTTCCCACTGCCTGGCTGAAGGGAGCTGGTTGCAGAGGCAAGGCCAACCCCAGCAGAGAAACCAGACAGTTCTGAGGCCGACCGGAGGAGGCCCTGGAGGTGTGACGCACAGACACATGTGACATCCCCCAGTGCCTCCACACGGGCATTTGTCAGTGTTGGGCCAGCGTGGCTCTGCAGGTTGGATCCCCATTAGAAGTTGAAGAGGTACATTTCAAAACATCCGCAGTTCCACAGAGTAGCCAGGGTGTCCCTAGTCACTCTTTCCCCAGCATCCCTGATTTTTTTTTTATCAAAGTCACCAACAGCAGGAGGGTTTCAGAGTTCATTAGATGTGATCATCCTATAATTAATTGGCATCTCCTCTTTTGCATTGTTCTCTGGCGCGTGCTTTATGGAGAGATGGCAGAATTGCTTTTTAATGAGCTTGTTACCGAGAAGAAGTTGTTAAAAGTGATTACATGGCTGTGTGTGTGGGAAGGGTAGTGTTGGGGGAGGAGACTGTATATTTCACTCAGGATCCCTGTGCTGATTCCAAGGAATCGTATTGGTCTTTGGGGTAGTGGGGTCATTTGGAAGTGAGGGGTTCATACAGAAGAGAGGGCGATTGTCATTTCCTTTAAAAAAAGCTGTCTTTGTTTTCAGTCTGGGGGTTGGAGCTTGAGGTGATGTCTCTTCTTGGTCAGCTAAAGTGCCACGAGGAATAGTTACTGGGATTGGTGGTTTGTAAGTGGGTCACTAACAGTACCACTTGTGTGGTTTTGGTGTACTGCTTAGGGAGAATCCCCAAAGGTGTAAGAGAGTAAGAATGTTCTCAAAGTAGGTGATGGCCTGTGAAGTAAGAGAAGTTCCTGGGGCCAGATAGGTTGTGCAGGCCTTTCAATCCCAGCACTCAGGAGGCAGAGACTAGTGGATCTCGATGAGTTCTAGGCTAGTCTGGTCTAGATAACTTGAGTACCAACCAGCCTAGTCGGGGCTACATAGTAAGACATGGTCTAAATACACAACCAAGCAACCCAACAACAATATAGCTCTGAAGATCTCTCTGAGCTCTGATGTTCAGGCAGTCCGTGTGATGTCTTTGTGTGACCATAAACAGTTTTCCTGAAAGAAAAGACGTACAATGTGAGGAGAAACCACCGGTGTGAACCTCAGTGGTCCTCTCATGAAATGAAGATGACTAGCGTTGCTTCCTATGTCCTGACTTAGGCGTACACTTATAGGACTAAGCTGGAAGCACTATGTGGCCCTTGCTGGGTTTCTGGAATGGTCTCCCTAACATAGCTTTTGGATCTCATGGCCTAACTTTAGATTCCTATCAGAATCTGAGCTCAAGTTCTCCAGTTCCAGACACTAAAGCCAAAGCTTCCCTCTGTTTTCAGTCTTTCCCCTTTCTCCCTCTCTGGATACTATCGGAAATCACTTTAATTTTTACTTCTTTCTTTGCTGGGTCAGGGAAGAAAGTAATGACAAGATGCGACAGTACTCCCAGGCTGCAGAACAAAGCTCACTCCTCTCCCCCTAGGAAACCAAAGAAAGTAAAATGAAGCGAGAACGTTGCGATAGGCCAGGTGGTGGAATGTACATCTGTAGCTAGCTGCCTTTCCAAACATTTGACACTAACCAGGTTACCTCTTGTGTAGAAGCTGGGCACCTTTAAGGAACAGAAACTCGGGGAGTGGCAGGGGTGGGGTGGGGGGGGGAATCTGGAGCATTCTCTTCTTTCCACGCTGTGACCCCAGCAGAGGTGTTCGAAGGGTAACTGTGATGACTGGTGCATTATTTGGGCATTTGTTCTTTGAAAATGGCTACTCACAGTGAGTACCAAGATGGAGCTTGTTGTGCACAGCTCCTGCAACCACTTACTTTGTGATGGACCTAAGTGCCAAGATCCCTCACCACAGGAAATTTACTGAAGCGGTCAGTGTGCGGCGGTATGAGCAAGGCAGTATTGGATAGCAGTTGAGCAGGGAGGTATAGTCAAGTCCACTGGGGTTCGTGTTCTGCCTTTACTAATTCCTAGACTTATGACCTGTATACATTGTCTTCTCTGGGACCCATCTCCCCATCTATAAAGAAGGGTGAGTGCATCCGCATCAGAGTTAGTTTCCAAGACTGAATGTGCCAGTTACTTGGCAGACAATAATAGCTCATTAACAGTTGTAGTGAAGTTGTTTTGTGATTATTACTATTGCGGTGATTTGGGTCATTCTCTTGGTCTTGACATTGGTTATTGATAAATGAATGAAACGGCTTTATGTAAACTAGAAATGAGTTAATTAGAGATGAAGAAAGATTGAGTGTCCTCAGCCACAAATCCAAAATGTTCCAAACTCCAAAACTCTTTTTTGGTGTGTATATATGTGTGTTTGTGGGGGTTATGGGTATGTGACACACATGCTTCCATGCCAGAAGTCAGCATTCAGTGCCTCCCTCTGCCTCTTCTCCCTCTTAGTTTTTGAGACAGGGTCTGTTACTGAACATGGAGCTCACTGATTGGCTAAGCTAGCTGGCCAGTGACCACTTAGGATCCTCCTGTCTCCACTTCTCCAGCTCTGGGATTACAGCCCACACTTGATCTCTATCTATCTATCTATCTATCTATCTATCTATCTATCTATCTATCTATCTATCTATCTATCTATCTATCTATCTATCTATCTAGAAATAGATTCTTTTCTCATACAATACATCTTGATCAAAGTTTCCCACCCTTCCACTCCTTCCAGCTCCCCTGACACCTCCCCTCTCCCTCAGATCCACTCCCCTCTTCGTTTCCCTTCAGAAAGGAAAAGCCTCCAGGAGACAACAACCCCACACAACAAAACAAGATACAATCAGACAAGGCAAAAACACTCATATTAAGGCTGGACAAGCCAACCCAATAGTAGGAAAAGAGTCCCAAGAGCAGGCAGAAGAGTCAGAGACGTACCAGCTCCCACTGTTAGGAATTCCACAAAAACACCACACTAACAGCCATAGCATATATGCAGAGGGCCTGGTGTTGATCCATGCAGGTCTGTGCTTGCCTCTTCAGTCTTTGTGAGCCCCTATGTGCCCTGCTTAATTGATTCGGCAGGCCATGTTATCCTGGTGTCCTACATCCCCTTCCCTACAATCTTTCTTCCCCTTCTGAGCTCTGAGGAGAGGGACACCATGGAGACCTCTTACTTAGACTCTCTCTACATAATGTCTGGCTGTGGATCTCTGCATCCTCTCCGATCTGTTGCCAGAGGAAGCTCTCTGATGACTGCTGGACAAGGCGCTGATGTATGAGTATAGCCTAACATCATTAGGAATCATTTCATTGATTTGTTTGTTTGTTTGCTTTATGTAGGTGCTGAAGATCTGAACCCAGATCCTCAGGCTTATGTGGGAAGTGTTTGGCCAACTTGAGTCATCTGTGCAAACCCTCTGCAATTTTTTTTTTTGAGATCCCCCATTTGACACCACAAGTAGATAATTCCATGCCTGGCTTTTTTCACAAACCACGGTCGAAATGCAGGTCAACTAAGAACGATTTGAAGGATTCCCTTCACGCTATGTGTCTACGGTGTCTACGAGACATAAGTGATTCGTTTTTTTTTTTCAACTTGAGCCTTCTACCCAAGACTTCTCACTATGTGCGTGCATGTATTCCAGGATCAGAAAGTACAAAGTCTGGGACACTTGTGCACCCAGGCATTTCGGAAGGATATTCAGCATGCAGTCAAATGACTCCCGTGGCTGATTGGTGGGGGAGGAGGGATGATGCCATTAGACACCAGGGTGCAGGGTTAAGCTGGCCCTGCAGGCTCTAGCCTGGGGAAGTTGGCAGTGATGTAGACTATGGCTTTCCTCAGACAGCAAGGGAAGCAGTCACCCTCCATCCTCAGAAGTGTGCTACGTCTAAACTGTCCTGGAAGATGAACCTGGAGGGACCGGAGAGGGTGCTATAAAAAAAAGAGAAGTAGATGGGAAGAAGAAGGGAGGAAAGGGATGGAGGATGGGAGAGGGAGTATGAATTAATTTGGATTAAATGGATGGGAATTAGAAGTATTTATTTGGAATTGGTGTGAATGGGGCACATGGGGAACTGAAAATGAAGGCGATAATTTATGTGGTGTGGATGAACTAAGAGTAATGAGAAAAGCATGAAGGGTAAAATCAGACTAAGTGCCTCCGTATAAAGGAAATGGGCTGGGGAAAGCTTAGGGGCGAAGGGATGTGGAGGAGCAGTGGGGAGTGGGTTGGGAGAGGGTCTGCTTGCTGATAGCAGGAGCGCGGTGTGGAGAGCGCTAACCAGATGATGAGATGGAGTGTTTGCAAATGGGCGGTGGATGGATCCAGGCAAGCTATTCACGGATAAGATTCACTTCAAGTCAGTGGAAATATTTCTTATTTTTCTGGTGTTTGGGGATAGAAAAAGAAAGGCCATAAGGAAAGGATCCCAGAGAAAGGCGAGAGATTGGCATTTTCTTCTCCCGAGTTATCTATATTTGCCATATCTCTTTTATATGGTAATATGTTGCAAAGGAGACACAGTCGCAAAATGAAATGAAGTAAAATAAAATGTGTGAGCCTCTGTCTCCTCCACATAAAGACGATACATTGTTGGTGACGTGGATTCGCTCGCTCGCATTGAGCAAGTTCTAAAATGTTATTCATTTAGTCTTTATATAGACGGGATTTACGAGGCTGGAAAAGACTTGCACTTTTTTTTTTCTCTCTTTCTTCTGTGACTGTTTTTGAAGATGCTGAATCCTACAAAACTTTTTGGCCCAGAGAATATCAAGCAATGGGGTGTTTTCTTTTCTTTTCTTTTCTTTTCTTTTCTTTTCTTTTCTTTTCTTTTCTTTTCTTTTC